CTTAATAAATATTTAGTTGGCAGTATTCAACTAAATATTTATTAAAATTGACTATATTTTTTTCGGTGTATACACTTATCAAAATAGTTATTAAATATTTATTGTGTAAAACATAATATTTAATTTATCTAGCTTTATAAAAGTAGTGACAGATTAAAACAACATTGTGTTTTGCACAATAACTATTTAATCCTTATTTTGATTGATCACGGACACTTCGCGCGAAACCACGTATGTCTTGATATTGTGTTGACTGTAGCGATAGTCGTTTTTTTCACAAACTTATAAAAAATAATATATTGCATTAATTAATAATATTAGTATAAAATTAGGAATTATTTCTCCTTTTTTTTTCTGAAAAATGTAATTTATGTTATAACAAGATATAAAATATCGCATGCATTATTTGATGTCATATTAATATTTCTTATATTTTTAATTTTTATGGATTATATAATGAATTTCTTTGTGAGCTATCTGTATTCGCCAAATCTTCATGAGTTAAAGAATCCAAGAATTTTAAGTAATGTAAAATTTCACTGAGAAACGGCTATGTTATTTTTATCGTAGAGGTTAATAGTACTGGAGCGCATCTTTGATTCTAATTATCTTATGTTTGTTTTAGAAAGCGTTAATGTGTTCTTCGAGAATGTCAGATACAAAATTCTTGTGAAAGCCATGGGATATTTGCAATAATAAGCTGAAGTGGGGCGAGATCTCGATGCAATGCGCAACAGCGGAAAGCGAAAAGCGAAACGACGGTTTTATCGCGGCTTGCATTTTTTATTATTAACGTTAGTAAATAGCGTATATCACTCAAGCTCAAGGTCATCTGCGATTATCCGCGATATTAGCGGTAGACGTCGCGTTTATAAGATGGATTTCCGCGTGAATTCTCAGTGCAATCGTTGTCAGTCAACACCTTGTGCCACATTACGCATCGGAAAAAATACGTGAGATTATTAATTTATCTCAATTTTACGAATGGAGAAGCGGATAATTATAAATATTCTGAGGCGCCGGGTGTTACGCAAGCATAATTCTTTATCAGAAGCGGTAACAACAAACAACGTTTCGATTAAAATTATTAAAGTGCTGATTTATTAATAGAAAAATGCCAGACAGTGAAGAATATCTTCATCGATTTTTAATATTTTCCTAGATATTAGTAAAAATATCTATAAGATTACAAAGTATATATTGAGACATCATTAGATTATCCTACAATTTAATAATTCTTCAAGAACAACATAAAGCAGCCGATGGATTATTTCTTCTCGCAAGTTGATTGCTCGAATATAACCGCTCAATAAGTAATTCAAGTAATCGAGAAAGACGACTTTAATACTTACCAAATAGTTTCGAAAATTCATTCACGTTAAAAAATGATGAGATTGTGGATTCTGTTCGTTCTGATGGTAACTACCCACTGGCCGGTGGAGGGAAAGATATACACACAATGTGAGGCTGTAAGGCAGTTAGTGATAGCCAGAATCAGTAGGTCCTTCATCAGCAACTGGATCTGCCTGATGCAATACGAAAGTGGGATGGACACGCATCTGGTAACTGGTCCAAAGAGAGGTTCCAGCTATTCTTATGGTATTCTTCAGATCAACAGTGCCGAGTGGTGCACCAGGGGGCATAGAGGTGGCAACTGCGATAAGCGTTGCGAGGACTACCTGAGTGACGATATACAGGAAGACATCGTGTGCGCCAAGAAGATATTCGATCAGCATGGATTCAAGGCTTGGGATGGATGGGTCAAGAACTGCAAGAACAAACCATTGCCAAACCTCGCACACTGCTTCCGTCGGAAAAGAATGGCGACCAAAGTCGAGACCGAGCTGATTCTATGATGATTGAGTGATCATAACGTTGTTTAACACATTGACTGCAATCCATACAAGACTCAAATTGATTTTGCTTTTAATTTCACTACTTGTAATCATTCACGAATTAAATTTTATTAACTTACATAATTGATTCCATCAGATCATTTCAACAGATTGCGTATCTGTTTCCATTAAAGGATTTGTCTAATTGCGCGCACCGTACCTGTTGAACGTAATAAAAACAAAGTACGCTGTATGTTTTATATATATGAATCTAAACGGATTGGATCAACGCCACTTATGATGTAATGCTTTACAGCCATCTTAAACATACGTTGCACAGCTTGACAGACTACGCGAAATGGTTTAGAAATTCCTACTGTTAGAATCGCAAAACTATACGTGATGAGATTTCGCTGATGTCTTCCCGATTTCATCCCTTTATACTCATGTTACGTGTGCGACATTCAAGAAGATCGTTTTTGCTCCTAAGTCCGAGTGTCATATTTACGACATTCAGAAATAAGATGGACAAGTCTTATGTAACTAAATATCTCTGTATTGAAGTAAAGAAGTAAGCTTTTAAAAATTTCTTAAAGAGAAAGGTGTATATAGAAATGTTACAATACAAGCTAATAATTTCGTATCGTAAATAATGACATATATAACTAAATAATGTAAATCTTAAGCCAAATAATATAAGAGTATATGTGTGTATATATATATATATGTACCAATGTATTATTCTATATAAAAGTCTCTTAAAATGTAAAGCAATATTATGTCTATAACTACACAGTAAAAAAGAAAATGTTAATTTTAACATTTTTTACATGTCCCAGGAGATCCACTC